GAAATGCTCACAAAATGAACCCAAAATAGTCACAAAATGAACCAAAGTAAACAAAAATGGTCCCAAAATGAATCCAAAATGGACCCAAAATGGTCACAAAATGAACCTAGGATGGCCCCAAATGGTCCCAAAATTAATCCAAAATGGACCCAAAATGGTCACAAAATGAGCCCAAGATGGACCCAAAATGGTCCCAAAATGCACGACCGCTCACGGGGGCTCTCACTTTTATCAATTCTGCTCCATTTGCATATTGGAGTTAATTATGCAATTACAGCTTTAGCCCATGCACTCCCATCCTGCTTGTTTTTATCTCTTCAGCCCACAGTGTTTATGCTCTTGGGCTTGAAATTTGGATCATTTGAAATTTAGATCATAGAGAGCCTGATACTTTGATCATTTGAAATTCAGATCATAGAGAGAGCCTGAGATTTGGATAATTTGAAATTTGGATGATTTGAAATTTTGATCTTAGGGAGGGCCTGAAATTTGGATCATTTGAGATTTGGATCATTTGAAATTTGGATCATTTGAGATTTGGATCATTTGAGATTTGGATCATTTGAGATTTGGATCATTTGAGATTTGGATCATTTGAAATTTGGATCATAGAGTGGGCCTGAAATTCGGATCATTTGAAATTTGGATCATAGAGTGGGCCTGAAATTTGGATAATTTGAAATTTGGATCATAGAGAGGGCCTGATATTTTTATAATCTGAAATTTGGACCATGGGGAAGGAACTGTTTTGTCTCCCTACTCTGTGAAGAGAGCTCACCAACACTTAGCACGAAGCTCAGCCCCACACGCTAAAGAATCCTCAAACCATAAAACCCAAACCCTGAGACCTCAGCACGACCTCAGGCTGAGTCTCTGCTGTGTCCCCGAATGTCCCCAGCTGATCTGCACCGTCCCAACGAGCCACCTGAAGTTCCTGAAGGAAGCCGGGCACGGCATCACCAAGGAGGAGATCCCCGAGGAGGAGCTGCCCGAGGACGTGGACGAGATCGACCACGCCGAGATGGAGCTGCGGCGGGGGCAGATCCTGTGGTTCCGGGGGCTCAACAGGATCCAGACCCAGGTACTGGGGGGCAGCGGGGCCGGGCGGGGGGCTCTGCCTGCTGTGTCCCCTCCTCTCTGTCCCCTGCCGGGGGGAAAGGTGCTGCTCACTGGTGCCATCACCTCCCGGGCCAGGGTTCCTCCTGTGCCGCTCCAGGGAGCCGGGATAAGCTGGATTTTGGGAGAGCTGGAGGTGGGGAGGCTGTTCTGCTGCAGGCACTGTGCTGCTGGTCAGCAGGAGGGTGGACGTGCCACCAATGGTCACCTCGTGCCACTGATGATCACAGCAGCGGCACAAGGAGCTTGGACGTGCCACTGATGGTCACCTTGGCAGGATGGGAGGGTGGATGTGCCACTGGTGGTCACCTCGGCAGGACGTGCCGCCGATGGTCACCTCGGCTGCACAGCAGGGTGGACGTGCCACTGATAGTCACCTCATGCCACTGATGGTCACCTCAGTGGCACAGGAGGGTGGACATGCCACCAATGGTCACCTTGGCAGGATGTGCCACCGATGGTCACCTCAGTGGCACAGGAGGGTGGACATGCCACCTCAGCAGGATGTGCCACTGATGGTCACCTTGGCAGGAGGTGCCATCGACGATCACCTAAGCAGGACATGCCACTGATGGTCACCTTGGCGGCACAGGAGGTGGGTGTGCCACCAAAGGTCGCCTTGGTAGGACATGCCACCAAAGGTCACCTTGGCAGGAGGGGAGGGTGGACGTGCCACCGATGGTCACCTCTGCAGCACAGCAGGGTGGATGTGCCACCAATGGTCACCTCGGCAGCACAGGAGCTTGGACGTGTCACCGAAGGTCACCTTGGCAGGAGGTGCCATCGATGGTCATCTCAGCAGGACATGCCGCCAATGGTCACCTCAGTGGCACAGGAGCTTGGACGTGCCACCCAAGGTCACCTTGGCAGGATGTGCCACTGATGGTCACCTTGATGGCACAGGAGGGTGGATGTGCTACTGATGGTCACCTTGGCAGGACGTGCCACCGAAGGTCACCTCAGCAGGACATGTCACTGATGGTCACCTTGGTGGCACAGGAGGGTGGACATGCCACTGATGGTCACCTCATGCCACCGATGGTCACCTCAGTGGCACAGGAGGGTGGACATGCCACCGATCAGGTCACCTCAGCAGGACGTGCGACTGATGGTCACCTTGGCGGCACAGGAGGTGGGTGTGCCACCAAAGGTCACCTTGGTAGGACATGCCACCAATGGTCACCTCGGCAGCACAGGATCTTGGACGTGCCACCGAAGGTCACCTTGGCAGGATGTGCCACCGAAGGTCACCTCAGCAGGACATGCCATCTTGGTGGCACAGGAGGGTGGGCATGCCACCGATGGCACACCAGGGGAGAAAGTCTCTCCATCTTCTTCTTACATCACGTGGTTTTCCTGCCTCCTTTCCCTGATTTTTGCCTTTCCCCCACCCCAAGAGGGGTTTTCTGCTCCCACCAAGCAGGAGCCCCTCACTGTCCCTGGAGGCCAGGCCACAGCTGTCCCACGGAGGGAAGTCCTGGTGTCCCCGGGCGTGCAGAGCTGCTGGGTCACTTTTGCTCCTCCTCTGTCCCTGTGAGGAGGCCTGGGGACAGGGTAGGGTTCACTGCCTTTCTCTGAGAGCTGCCACCTCTGCGGTGCCACCTCCATGGCTTCAAGGTGACACCTCCATGGCCTCAAAGTAACACTTTGATGGCTTCAAGGTGACACCTCCCATGGCTTCAAGGTGGTACCTCCATGGCCTCAAAATGACACCTCCATGGCTTCAAGGTGGACACCTCCATGGCCTCAAAATGACACCTCCATGGCTTCAAAGTGCCACCACCATGGCTTCAAGGTGGCACCTCCATGGCCTCAAAATGACACCTCCATGGCTTCAAAGTGCCACCACCATGGCTTCAAGGTGGACACCTCCATGGCCTCAAAATGACACCTCCATGGCTTCAAAGTGACACCTCCATGTCCAAGGTGTCACCTCGATGGCTTCAAGGTAGACGCCTCGATGGTTTCAGGGTGTCACCTCCATGGCTTCAAGGTGACACCTCCATGTTCAATGTGTCACCTCCATGTTCAAGGTGTCACCTCCATGTCCAAGGTGACACCTCGATGGCTTCCAGGTGATGCTCAAGGTTCCTGGCTGGCTGTGAGCCCCGAGGAGCAGCCGGGCTCTTTGTGGGGGGAACCATTCTTCACTCACATGAGGAACATGCTGGGAACTTCCAGCATCTTCTGGGAGTGCTGCAGCTGTGCTGGAATTCCGGGAGCTCTGGGGCCGAGCCTGGAGCTTCCCGGGAGTTTCCCTGTGCTGGGGCTGAGCTCCTGCCACATGAGAAACGAGTGCTGGCACGTCCTGGAGCATCTTTGGGGTCCAACCTGAGCATTGTCGGGGGCTCCTGTCTGAAAAGGGCACAGGACTCTTCCCCCAGCCCAGGGGAGAAGAGGGACATCGGAATGGGGCCTGGATGTGAGGTCCCCGCTCTTTTCTGGTGTTCCTTAAAATTCTCAGCCTGACTGGGAGGTCTCTGCTGCTTTCTGCTGTCCCAGAAATTTTCCAGTCTGGACGAGAGATCTTTGCACCTCTCTGGTGTTACACAAAATTCCCAGTCTGGAAGTGAGTGAGATCCTTGCTCCTAAAATTTCCAGCCTGGAAACGAGTGAGGTCCTTGCTCCTAAAATTCCCAGCCTGGATGGTGAGGTCCTCGCTCCTCTTATAATCCCAGGAGAGAGGGAAAAGTGTGGCTCAGGGGGACCTTTCTGTGCCCAGGCTGTGACATGGGAGTGTGGCAGGAGCGAATCCGTGCGTGAAGCCCCCGCACAGCCAGAGCTGGGGCTGCAGGAGGTGCCCAGAAGGTGTCCAGAAGGTGCCCCAGGGCTGGCATCACCCAGCAATTTGGATGCTCCCCAGATGCTGCTCAGCTCCTGGAGCCTTGGGGACACATCCACAGGGCAGCCCTGAGGCCTGGGAGAGGGGCTGGAGCATCTCCTGCTGCCAGGGGAGCCCGTGGGGTGTCCCCAGAGCTGCCCCACAGGGCTGGGGCAGCAGGAGCCCTTCCCCACCAGCTGCCCACTCGCACCTCTGCCCACCCTCTCCGTCTCTCTCTGCTCCTCCTGCAGATTTTTGGGATGTTTCCTCTGCCACTGCCTCCCACCACAGCCCTTTTCCTGCTGGGGGGATCCTCCCTGCCGCTCTGGCTGCCCTGGAAGGGCAGAGCCAGACATTCTCAAAAACCCCACGTGGCTTTCGGGGAGCGTGGGGCGGGGTGGGGTGGCTTTTTCCTTCTTCCTCCTCCTCTTCCTCACCTTTCCATCCTCCTCCTTCCTCGCTGTCTGTGTGTCTGCCCGCCCTCCCCTGTCCCCTGTCCCTGTCCCTGGCCGGGTGTCGCTATCTCACTCTCTGGTTCTTTGCAGATGGACGTAGTTTACACATTCCAGACCGGCGCCTCCTCTTTGCAGGGAGCCCTCAGGAGACAGCCTTCCATCGTGAGCCAGCACCACGATGTAAAAAATGTTTCTAGCCCAACCCATGTAGCTCTTTCCTCCGTCAATTCCACTCCCACCACTTCTGCTGTTGCTGCTGCTGCTGCATCTCCTCCTGCGGGCAGTGAGTGATGGTCTATTACAATGCATGACTTTAATAACCACAGAGAGCACCTGCACCCCCCTAACCCCGCCTGTTCTCGCTCCCTCTCCGCCTTCACTCACACACTCGATCCCAAACCTGAAGGATAGGGCGGGAAACCCTTCAAAACCCTTCAAAACCCTTCAAAACCCTTCAAAACCCTTCAAAACCCCAGTTTTTTAATGCTGTTAACAAAGTTATGAACCTTTCTGGTCCTTTCCCCCCCCAGTTCCTTGTTGCTTCTTCCAGTTTTACCTCTTCTCCTCCTTTGCAGGGCTGGTGTTTGAGCCCACCCTCCTGAGGACGGGCAAAAATTGGCAGTTCTTGCTCAAAAAACCCCCGAGTTCACGAGCATTGCTGGGAGAAGGGCAAGGCTGAGCCCAAATCCTGCTGGTTTTTTCCCACTGCCCGGCCCTGGGACACGCCAGGGATGGGCAGAGGAGTTGCTTGGAATCTTTTCTGGAGGCAGAGTGGCTGCTGGGACTGTCCCCAGGGCTGGCTGGGCCAGGAGGGACAAGCAGGAATTTTTCCTGCCCATGGCTCAGCTGGTGACACCTCGGGGCTGCTGTCCCCTTCTCTGTCCCCACCTGGGGACTTGCACGGCCTGGGGACATCCCTGTGCTGCCCTGGGGACATCCCCGGGCTTCTGCTGGTGCCCAGGGCAGGCAGAGGATCCTCAGTGCCCACCTTGCTCTGCACACTCTGGATCCCAGGGGGTGCAGACACTGCTCTGCATGGAAAAGGGCATGGAGCACAATTCCTGCTGGATCCCAGGGGGAATTCTGAGTTCTGGATTTGGCACTGGGTTTTCAGACCCCCAAAAATGGTCCTGTGTGGTGCAGGACTCTCTCTCTGTTCACACTCTGGATCCCAGGGTGTGCAGACACTGCTCTGCATGGAAAAGGGCATGGAGCACAATTCCTGCTGGATCCCAGGGGGAATTCTGGGTTTTCAGACCCCAAAAAAGGCCCTGTGTGGTGCAGGGCTCTCTCTCTGTTCACACTCTGGATCCCAGGGTGTGCAGACACACAGCTGTGCATGGAGCACAATTCCTGCTGGATCCCAGGGGGAATTCTGAGTCCTGGATTTGGCACTGGGTTTTCAGACCCCCAAAAAAGGCCCTGTGTGGTGCAGGGCTCTCTCTCTGTTCATTCTGGTCTGCTCTGCACACTCTGGATCTCAGGGTATGCAGACACACAGCTGTGCATGGAACACAATTCCTGCTGGATCCCAGTGGGAATTCTGGGTTTTCAGACCCCAAAAAAGGCCCTGTGTCGTGCAGGGCTCTCTCTCTCTCTGTCCATTGTGGTCTGCTCTGTACATGATGGATCTCAGGGTCTGCAGACACACAAATGTGCATGGAAAAGGGCATGGAGCACAATTCCTTCTGGATCCCAGTGGGAATGCTGGGTTCTAGATCTGGCACTGGATTTTCAGACCTCCAAAAAAAAGGCCCTGTGTGGTGCAGGGCTCTCTCTCTGTTCACACTCTGGATCCAAGGGTGTGCAGACACAAAACTGTGCATGGAAAAGGGCATGGAAGCCACATTCCTGCTGGATATCAATGGGAATGCTGGGTCCTGGCTTTCCAGACCCCCCAAAAAAGGCCCTGTCTGATGTAGAACCCCCGTGTGTGTCGGGTGTTGGGGCTGGTGAGCACATGGCCGTGGATTCTGTCTGCAGGCTGGGAGCAGGGAATGTGTCTCTGCTGGATAATTGGCTTTTTTATTGCACAGTCACTTATCCCTGTTCTCTGATTAGAGAAAAACCCTCGGTGGCTTTCTGGAGAGCTTTCAGGCTCCGCTGTTTATGCACTGTGGGGGAGGAGAGAGAATTTGGGATAATTTTGTTTTCTCTCTGTTTAGCTGACTCTGAGGCTGGCAGCTGATTGAGTTTAACCCCAGCGATTCTGGAGCAGCACAGCTGCCTCCTGCTCCTCCTGCATCTGGGAAAACCTCCAGGATTTTCTGATGGAATCAAATCTGCTTGGAGGGGCTCAGAGGGGGGGTGGGAATGAGACCAAAATGCAATCTGTGCATCCATGTTTTTGCAGCGAGGGAATAGAAAACTTGGATAGCTCGTGCAAACTTCACCAGGAGCTAAGCCAGGTCTCCAAATTTCCTGCTGTTTTCTTGCCTGGATTTCTCTTGTTTCCCTCTGCTGCTTCTCTCTCTCTCTCCCAAATCTCCTCTTCCCTCCACGCAGATCCGTGGTCTCCCTCTCCCGTGGATGAGTTTTTTCCAGGGCTGGACTTGCTGTGTCCCTCCTGGAGATGTCTCAGGAATTGATGTTCAGGTTTTGGCAGGGAATTCTGCCCTGGGCTGAGGGATGTAACTCCCTCCCAAGCACGTGGAGGTTTCACGGGAATCAATTCCAAGCCTGGAGGTTGCATTTGAAGCTTCCAGGTGGGGAGGAGGCGGGAGCTGGGCCGTGGGAGGGAGGGAGGGGCAGCTCCAGGCTGGAATTCGGCTCTGCTGGCGCTGCCTGCCTCATTCAGAACACATTTCCTCCCTGTTCCCTCCCTTGGAGAGGGAGCAGCTGAATTCATCTCACAGCAGGTGATGGAGAAGGGGGAGAAAATGTGAGGGAAGCTGCAGCAGGAGCTCCTTGAGGGGGCTGAGCAGGAGACGGAGCACAGATTCCCTGGAATTGCTCCAAGGAGCCTTCCCTGCTGCTCCTGGCAGTGCTGGACAAATCTCCAGGGGTTGGGAGGGGAGATCTGCTCCCACGTGAGAGGGGGAGGCTTCTGTGGAGCTGCTCCTAAGTCTGAGCTTGTAGATGTCACCTCCTGGTGGCTCCGAGTCCCTGGGCTCTCCTTGGTCACCTCCTGGTGGCTCCGAGTCCCTGGGCTCTCCTTGGTCACCTCCTGGTGGCTCTGACAGTCCTTGGGATCTCCTTGGTCACCTCCTGGTGGCTCCGAGTCCCTGGGCTCTCCTTGGTCACCTCCTGGTGGCTCTGACAGTCCTTGGGATCTCCTTGGCCACCTCCTGGTGGTTCTGAGTCCCTGGGCTCTCCTTGGCCACCTCCTCATGGCTCTGAGTCCCTGGATCTCCTTGGCCACCTCCTGGTGGCTCTGAGTCCCCTCCTTGGCCACCTCCTGGTGGCTCTGGCAGTCCCTGGCTCTCCTTGGCCACCTCCTGGTGGCTCTGGCAGTCCCTGGGCTCTCCTTGGCTTGGTTGGATTTGTTCTCCGTGGTTCAGTGGTGTTTTAGGGCTCAGGACTTGCTGCTCTCAAGCCGTTGCTGATGTGGCAGATGATCAGCGTGAGGTGGCCCCGTGGTGTCCCTTGTCCTGTTGATCCAAGGTCATCGGTGCACAAATCCAGCTCTGAGCTGGCTCCCAGCTGCCTCAAATTCCCGTTTTTCCAAGCCAGTGGTGCTCCAGGCTGAGGTGTGTGTGCCCTGCTCCCTGTGCAGGAGCTCCTGGGGCTGCTTCCAGCTGGGATGGGCCGAGCCCGTGCCAGGAAATTCCTCCTGATCCAGGGAGCAATTCCTCCTGATCCATGGGCAAAACACACCGGGAAAGGCATCCCTGGTGAGAGGGGGCAGGGACAACACCAGAGTTCCAGACACAAGGAAGGAATTCCCTGTGCTGCTTTTGTGGGATCAGAGATCCTCAGGAGGGTTTTGGCTGTGCTGGGGGGTTGAATTCCCACCTACAGGGGTGAATTCCCACCTGGAGGGGTGAATTCCCATCTGGAGGGTGAATTCCTACTTGGAGAGGTGAATTCCCACTTTGAGGGGTGCCACACCCAGGGACAGTTTAAATAAAGGGACAGATTAAATAAAGAGACAGTTTAGGGGCAGTTTAAATAAAAGGAATAGTTTAAGTAGAGGGACAATTTAAATACAGGGACAGTTCCAATAAAGGACAGCTTAGCCCAGCCCATCTCACCAGGATTTGGGGTGATCTCCCTGCCCCCCCTCACCACCAAGGGGATTTCTGCACCGTCCCCCCTCGGCTCCCTCCGCTGGGAGGATTCCCACAGGGAATCCCTTCTGTGGGATCTGTGGATCTCCTCCTGTTTGTGCTGCACTTTCAGCCCTGGGGGCACCACGGCAGCGGGCAGGGGTGAGGAGCAGGGGGAGGCAGCTGAGGAGGAGCAAAGCAGGAGACTGAGCACAGCCCAGCACTGGAATTGCTCCAGGGAGCCTTCCCTGCTGCTTCCAGGGGTGCTGGACAAACCTCCAGGGGTCTGGGAGAGGAGATTGGTCCCACAGCAGCTCTGCTCCACAACTGCTGTTACTTCCCTGGAGCCCCAGCAGAGCTGGGATGTGACACTCGCCACCCACCTGAGCCACAGTCTGTGAGCTGGAAGGGCTTGAGGCTGGAATTCCAGAGGATCTGGAGGGAGCAGGGAATTCCCTGCCAGCCACCATCCGGGTGTGCTCCCAGAGCTCTCCCTCCCAGCGCAGTGGGGGTGACAGAGCCGTTCCCTGCTGCTCTGCATCTCCTGCCTGAGCCTGGGTTTCGGTGGAGCTGCCCCAGGGCTTTCCCAGGATGGTGTGTGGCTGGAATTCCCTCAGAATATCCAACAGAATCTGAACTGGCTGCCAGCCCCATCTAATTCCCATTTTTCCAGGCTGGTGGAACTGCCTTTGGAAACCACTGGGTGTCTCCTGCAGGTGCAGGGAAGGTGCAGGTCCCTTCCCTTCCCTTCCCTTCCCTTCCCTTCCCTTCCCTTCCCTTCCCTTCCCTTCCCTTCCCTTCCCTTCCCTTCCCT